GGGTGCACCAGTGTTGTGCAATGCCGCAGAGGTCAGAAGAGGACTTCAGAGTCCCCTGGAACTGGAGTTAAGGACGGTTCGTAGCCTCAATGTGGGTGCTGGGAATCGAACCCGGGTCCTCTGCAAGAGTAGTCAGTGCTCTTAACTGCTGAGTCATCTCTTCAGCCTTAAAATTCTTCTGAAATAAAATTCTTTGGTATCTTTTTAAAATTTTTATTTATTTTTATTTTATGTATATGAGTGTATTGCCTGCATGCATGTAAGTGCACCCATATCATAGAGTGCTCACAGAGACAAGAAGAGGGTGTCCACATCCCCTGGAACTGGAGTTATGGACAGGGTTAGCCATTATATGGGTGCTGGGAACTGAACCTGGGTCCTCTGCAAGAGTAGCCAGTGCTTTTAGCCACTGAGTCATCTCCCAGCCTCTCTTCGGTATCTTAAGGGACCTTTTAAAACCAGAGGCCTGAGAGTCAAGGTGGAGACAGTGGAAGAGATGTTTTCTGTTGTTCTCCCATGGTGCACTATTGTGACAAAATACATGATGAAGAATGTTGTTGAGAACACTCAGAGGTCCAGTGTGGTAGATTCCAGCACAGGACCAAGGGCTCACGAAATGTATCAGATGGATATCCACTGGCCTTAATCTTCTGCTTAATTTTAATGCCCCCCGCCCGCTTTCACCTTTTGGTGTTTTGAAACAGGGTCTCCCTGTCATTTCATCTGGCCTGGATCTCTCTATGGAGACCATGGTTGTCTTGACTTCACAGAGATCTGCCTATCTCTGCTTCCCTAGTGCTGGGATTAAAGGCCTGTGCCACCACGCCTGAATTCAGTCACTATCATGCCACCGTTATCCCATAAAAACATTTACATTTATGACCAGCCCCCTTCCTGCTTTTATCCCATGCTTTTACAGAAACTCCAGAAGCTAATTATTCATAATTCTTCTTTCAAGCCCTTTTCCGGCGCTTTCTTCACTGGTGTCTCTTTTCAGCTGTATTATTTTGTTCTGTTTCTGGAGATAAACAGCTTACATGATAAATGACCTCACAGTGGACTATCAAGGCTATTCAAAGGGCTGCGTAGAGAGGCCTTGTAAGGCCAATTCCAAGTCAACAGAAACACACTCTGAATTTGTTTGCTGATGTTTGAATTGGTGAATGGGATGAAGAAGCTGGTGTTCATACTGAGCTGAACCTTTCACTCCAGATCACCAGCTCTTCTCAATATAAATGTTTTCTGTTTCTATACCTCATTTCTCGTGCTGGTGCATTGGTCAATAACCTATCACAGTTCCTAAATATGCATGTTACCTATCTCTAGAACACAGTTGCATTATCTATAAAGTATAGATAGGCATATTTCTACTTTGTCTTTAGGATATTTGTAAAAATCAAGTGTGTGTTTATATATGTGTGTCTGTGTGTATGTATGCTCCTGTGTGTATGTATGTATGGGTATGTGTATCTGTATGCATGTCTATATATGCATATCCATGTGTATATGTGTGTGCCTATGTGTATGTGTATCTGTGTGTATCTGTGTGTATGTCTGTGTATGTGTGTGTATGCATGTATGCATATATGTATATAGGCACATACATACCTTGGGGAAGTAGAGATCCACTAAGCACCAATCTATTATCATTTTGAAAAATCTCACACAATTGACAGTGCTATTTTCCTCTTACAATACAGCCTTGTTGGTAGAAAGGAATTGTGCCTTTCCTGTCTAGTAAATTACATAACAAATTTGCTATATTGTGAAAACGTGATCAATAATTAATATGGATGAATTAATCAGATGAGATATTCCCTAAATAGAACCTTTTAAGACTATGAAACATGATGTGTCTGAAGTCAAAAGTAAGGCTACTAGTTCATTAATCCTCCCTTTTTTATCGTGTTGGGTAAAGTAGCTTTCAGGACCATTAACCCAGCTGGCAGAATTCTGCTTTACCTTTGATCAGTTTTTGTAGTTGCATTTGTTTTAAAGTCAGGCTCATTCCACCAAGCTTCTAAATTTTCCATCAAAATGCTCACCTTAGGCATTTATGGTAGACATTGAGAATAATAAAAACAAGCTTACCAGTCAGTTTTTCATTGCAGAGTAGAGTCACGTGCATATTTAGCTACATATGACTGCATTCCCTGATTCTCTCTGGGTCTACTTTGGTCCACTTCCTGACTTTCTAAATCACTCATAATGAATGGCAATTGGTTCATTCATTCATGCAGGAAGGCTTCCAGTCATCCTTCTCTTTGATGGCACTCAATCAAGGCTGGCCACGCATGCTCAGTTTCACTTCCCTGTGCCTCTGATTACCCCTCAGTCCCTCTGTGCCCAGCCTCATTTGAGTAATTGCGATGCTTTAGCAGACAACTGTTATAACCTCCCAACTGCCATTTCTCTCCCTTCCTTCTCTTCCAATTATTGTCAATGCTACACCAAAGCCATCTCAGAAAGGTGCACATAATAGTGACACATTCCATTTAAAACTCTGAGAAAGGTCACTTCTTAGGATAACAACAGCAAATACTTCATAATCTGGCGCTATTTCATTCTACTAAGGAATTCAGATTTCTTCTTTCCAAACATTCCTGCCACAGGAAAATGCTGGCTCCAGTGTATTTAAATAATTCATTCTCTGTGTTCATTGTGGAACCCAATGGAAAGGCCTCTCTGAAACTTCCTACTGATGGCCATGGACCAGATCCAGTGTTAGATGCTTCCTGATAGCTCAAGAACACAAGCAAAACTTAATTTGAAGGTTTTATCTGTGATTGTGCTCTGCCATGCTCATAATCCCCCTGCAATCTCCAAATGTCTTATTTTGGTCCGATTCAATTGTATCTCCAACAAGCTTCTGTGTTTGTTTCTTCAATTGTATAAACAAGAGAATGATACTCCTGCTGTCCCAGAGTGGCCACATAAATTGCCCTAAAGTATGACTGCCACCCAGTGAGGATAACCACCCTTCCCAGCTTGCCCAACATTGTCTTGATCCCAAAACTCAAAGTCAAAATCCAGAAAAATAATGTGAGCTCAGGCAAACCAGGAAAGATATTCATGCTACAAATATCCTCAAACAGAGCCCACTGTGTCCACATGCTCCTGTCGTGAGGTGAGCCTGAAGATTTGCCTCACACTTCATATACTGACAGGGTCCTTTATCATTATTTCTGTCCAAAGATCCAATATGTATTAATTTGGGATGTGGGTGCACCCAATTCTTAAATGTATTTTTTTTTAGTACAGGTAAGTGAAGTCTATGAGAGCTATAAATGACAAATTATAATCTACTGTTGAAGGATATTTACTTCTAATTGGAGGACATTGGTTAATAATTCATGATAGACCAAAGAACTGGACTTTATTTGAGTGTATGAACCTGCTGTTGGTGTGGGTGAGAAAACCTGCAGAGGAACAAGCCTAATGCATTTGTTCCCTGAAATGTGGACTCTAAACTCTGTACAATGAAATATACAAGCTATTTGTAGGACCAGCTTTACTCTTCTATGTTACATATGGATTTAATTTTCATTTCTACTGTGAAGGAACTATTCATCTTAACTCTTCAAATGGTCCTTCTAAATTATCAGATGATGGTTCAAGCCCAGGACAGGTGTGCACTAGTTGCATGGCAGAAAAGATAAGTTAGGGGAAAATGTATATTCATAACTCAGATATGATTGCAGTATATTTTCATATTACAACAGAGGAATCTATAAAACTCAGGTTATAAAAAATTTAAGTATCAAAGTAATGCAATTTTTCAGGAGCAGAAAGTAAGATAGAGCATTCATTTTTTATGGCCAAATTTATCTGAGAGTTGGACAAATGATTTTATGAGAAACAGCCATGTTATTTTCTGAAGGCAAGAAAGTACATTGGCTAACACACTGTGCCCTGGGAACAGACTATTGGACCATGAATACGAATTCAAGCTTAAGAAACTTTTTTTGAGACACAGTCATGTTATACAGGACAAGATGGCCTAGAAATCCTAGTCATCCTGTCTCCATCTCTGGAGTTCCCATTTACAGGAATGAGACTCTTGCATAACCTAGAAAATTAGGGGATGGAGTCATGGTTCTGTGGTTAGGAGCACTGGATGCTCTCAAAGAGAACATGGGTTTGGTTCCCAGCACCTACATGGTGGCTAACAATCATCCATGACTCCAGTTCCAGGGGATCTGATGCCCTCTGCCTTCTGGTCTCCACAGACATTGCACAACACAGGTGCACATACATTCATACAGACAAAGCACTCATACATAAAATAAAAATAAATAAGTAAAATTTATATTTATAGATAAATATAAAATTTAAAACTCTCGCCCATCATCTCTGTTACTCAGTTTCCTGAAGTTGTGAAATGTGAATAACACCCTCTACTCATATGAATCTCCGTAAATGAAATATTTCTAGTAAAGCATTTGGCACCATTAATACCATATGGTGTGCTCTTGAGAAGTTCCAGTAATTACTCAAATCATTTCAAGTTCCAATGGTTGCATAGGTATGTATGTAGAGAGAAGAGATGGTAAATATGTGTAGGTGCACCTTCAAGGTTAAAAACATGCAGTATATTCATTTTCCCATGTTTCTGGTATCTAAGGATTAAAATGCTATTTGTACATTCCCAAACCTAAAATAAACAGCCCATTAAATTATATTTAAACAGTTGTTTCCAATTTTATTTTGATAGAATTAGATACTTAGATATAGTGGGTTTGACAACAGTGAGAAGTAAAAGCACATTCAAGGACATCCAAACTGCTTCCATTTAGTTTATAGACTTCTCCCAAGCAAAGCATGTTAGATATTTCAAATTTTATTCATTAAAATAGTTGAAATAACAACGGGAACTGTGAGCATTTGGATCCTTCTACAGCTACAAAGGTATCTTAGTTTCTGCTCTGTTGCTGTGATAAAATTTTCTGATAAAAGCAATTTGAGGGAGGAAGGACTTAGCTTGGCTCACAATTCCAGGCTACCCTCCATCATGGTGGGGAAGCATTGTGGAAGGAGCTGGTCACATTGTGTCCACAGTCAGGAAGCAAAGTCCAGTGAATGGATGCTGCTCCTTGACTTCTATTCTTCAGTTAGGCAGCACAGGATCACAGCCTGGAATCTGGCCACTCCCAAAAGACTGGTCTTCCCACCTAGATTAAATAAAGCCAACAGGATGATCCCCAACAGGCATGACCAAAGGCCTGTCTGTCAGGTGATTCTAGACTCTGTCAAGTTGACAGTTAACATGAATCATCACAAAAGGAATATTTATAATTGTTGTGGATGAGACGACAGCTCAGTCTGTAAAGTACTAGTACCTGAGCTGATTTCCTAGCACCCACATAAAAGGGCAATCAAGGTGGTGTGCACTTATAATCTCATTACCCCGAAAGCAGACAGGCAATCCCTGGGGCTCACTGGTCACCAGGTTAGCCTACTAGGCAACTTCTAGGCCAAAGAGAGACACTGTCTCCAAAAACAAGGTGAATGCCTCCAGGGGAATGGTATCTGAGGATGACCTCTGGCATGCATGCACACCTGCACATACATGTACCCACATGAAAACACATACACAAATACGAAGGAATGTGTGTGACTTTGGGGCTTCAATAAGTACCATCTTTCCTCCCTTTCCCGCTTTTACGACTGAATGAAAAATACAGTGCAGGAATAGGGCAGATTCAGATCCGGCAAGTTTACAGATATAAATTGGACAATTGTTGCATACAGTTTCTGTGTCTGGCTGTAGTATGCTTCCAAGTCTTTTAATCCACAATCAAGTTATTCTCCCTGCCCTGGTTAATTTTTTATGGTAAATTTGACACAACCTAGAGTCATCTAGAAAGAAGAACTCTCAACTGAAGGATTGCTTCAGTCAGATTGACTTGCAGCCGTGTCTTTGAGCAATAGTCTTAACTGATAATTGATGTGGGTGGGCCCAGTCCACTGTGGGTGGTACCATCCTTAGGCAGTTGTTACTGGGCTGCATAAGAAAGCTACCTAAGTCGGGCATGGTGGTGGATGTGTTTAGTCCCAGCACTCAGGAGTCAGAAACAAGTGGATATCTATGAGATCAAGGCTAGCCTGATATACATAGTGAGTTCCCATCCAGCTGGGGCTACAGGGAAACCCCATCTCCAAAAGACCCTTCTCCCAAGAAAAGGAAAGCTGCCAAAGCATGAGCCAGCAATGTAGCCGGTAACCAGCCAGTAAACCTCCATGGTTTCTGCCTCAGCTCCTGCTGGAATTCCTGCCCTGACCTCTCTCAATGATGGATTGTGACCTGGAAGTGTAAGTCAAACATACCCTTTCCTCCCCTACATTGCTGTTGGTCATGGTGGTTTTTTTCTAACAGGAAAGGAAACTAGAACTCTTACTCATAAGAAAAAAGCCCATACCAGCCCAGCTCTCATGATCAGAGGAGCAACTCACAATGTCAGCTTGGCACTCACCAGGGTCTGTGCTGATCACTCGGGGCCACTTCCCTTGCAAGAGACAATGGGGAAGGGTCAAGAAGATGAGGGAATGCCAGCCAAGGACTTTCCCCTTTGGAGGCAGAGTGGAAAGAGTCTTGTCTTTATGCACACGTACTTAGTACGAGGAAAGTGTCTGCCTCTGATCATCTCTGTAATAGTAAGTTGATTGGACATCTGTAGATTCAAAAATTTTGGTGAGTTTTGTGTTAGTAATGGCAATAGTGTATGATTTATGGCAGTTGTTAACCAAACAAATCACAATATGATCTATATCTTACACCAACTGCTCACAATCCTAATTTTAAAATACATCAAGAGAAACTTCTTATACCTGATTTGTGGTTCCTAGAATGTAGATCCTCTGCTTACAGTAAGTTTAAAGACATTCCACACATCTTTTAAGCTGACAAAGAAGCTCTAAAATTTGATAGAATGCAATCAGAAGAAATATGAATTTGAGGCATGCGGTTTGGAGAACATGAAGCCTGAAAAGCTTCTGTCTTCTCATCTAACAGGAACTGGGAGCTGGGATGGTGTATGCCAGGAGGAGGAAATGGCCCAGGAGAGAGGCAGGTTCTTCTTCAAGATGGTTAATGTGCACCTGCTGTGAGTACCATAGGTCTCTTCTAAGTGCTGACGTGAGCAAGCACTCTAGGGAGACAGGAAACTGGTGATCTAGCAAAATATGGTTCTCAGCTAAAGGTCACATGAATTGTCCCAGAAACCTCCGGGATGCTTCAGAGTGGGTGCCAAACACAGAGAGCTGCTCATTAGACCTTGTGCTTAAGTATCAGGTTCACTTAATCAGGGAAATTGTTCATTTGTGTGAAAATTTGACCTCTGTCATCATGCCAGGAAGGCTAAACCTGGGAGCAATCCAGGCTCATGCGAGCTGGCAGAAGTTAAGGCTACCTGGGGACTCCTTTCAAAGGACACCACCAAGGTGAGCAGACCCAAGAGCTGACCTCCCTTCTCTCCTTTTCCATTTATATCTGTTTGAAAGTTCACAGAGTTCTTTTTTCCCCAAAAAAGAAAGTGCTTCAAGTGCAATAAAATGATAAAACATTCCAAAGGAATAAAGCTATAAAAAGGGAAGTGAAAAGAAAATGTTTCACTGAGGAAGGCCCGGTGTTTAGGGAAATGTAATTCAGATAGCTAGGTTACAATTATCATATTTCTTAACTTAGATCACATTTAACCTTAAAATTTTATAGTGTCACGACATTTTAACGAGAACAAAAGCATTATTGCCTATGGGTTATTGAAGTAAAGGAGGAAAGACACTGTCTAAAAGATGTCTGTCACCCATGGAAACTAATCATTAGGAATTCTTTCTTTTACTCATTTATTTTTATTTTCATGTCTATGAGTATTTTGCATGCAAAGTCCAGAAGAGTATGTGAGAGGCCCTGGAACTGGAGGTACTGATGGGCAGTAGTCATCATGTGGGTGCTAGGAACCGAACCTGGGTCCTTTGCAAGAGCAGCCAGTGCTCTTAACCACCGAGCTATCTCTGCAGCCCCAACTTCTTCCTAACTGCAAACTGGTACCAACTGACCAGTCTCTCCACATCCCCTCACTGCCTCCACATCCCCTCACTGCCTACTCCTCCATCCTCTGGTAAATGCCATCTACTCTCAACTTTGGTCAGTTCAACGGTTTTAATAGTAAGTTCACATATAGTAAGATGATGTGTCATCTGTATCTATTGTATTTCCTTCTATACAATGATCTCCAGTCTCATCCAGGACAGGATTTCAGTTTCTGCGACTAAATAGTGTTCCATTTTGCATACTTTCTCTGCATGCTTTGCCTGCATCTGCATCTGCCTTTGATAATAACCATTCAATAAAGGACCTGTTACCTCTCTAGGGTTTTGATTTGCATTTCCCAGACAGTGAGCATCCTTTCATGTATCTTGTTGTCATGCATTTGTCTTCTTTTGAGAAGCATCTATTAGCAGGTATTGTTAATTCTTAAACCATTTTTAAATAATTTGGGTGTTTTATTTATTTTCTTATTTTTAACTTTCTAAAAATGTATTATTTTTATTTTATGATTCTGAGTGTATTGCCTACATGTATGTAAATGCATCTGTGTCCTGTGTCATGCAATGCCCATGGAGGATGGAAGAGGGTATTGGATCCCCTGGAACTGGAGTTACAGAAAGTTGTTGACCGCCATGCTTGGATTTGAATCCAGGTCTTCTGCAAAAACATCTAGTTCTCTTAACCGATGAGCCATCGCTCTAGCCCCTCTTTTTAACTTTTAAAAGATGATCTGTGTGCCCTAGGATGTGTATGATTTGCATATGTGTACAGTCTGTGTATGTGTGTGTGTTTATGAGCCATAGCATATATATGAAGGCAAGAGAACAACCTCAGGTGTCCATCCTCGCCTTCCACCTGGTTTGAGACAGGATCTTATGTAGTTCCTCCCTGCTACACATAGCCTAGCTGGCCTGTACGCTTATGGAATGTCTTCTTTCTCTACCTCCCATCTCACCCTAAGAGCTCAGGGGTTACAGACACACGCATGGTCACCTCCAGATGTTCATGGTACTGGGGACTGAACTCAAGGCCTCAGGCTTGTACAGCAAACACTTTACTCACTAAGCTATCTCCCAGCCCTCTCCTTTTAATAAACCCCTTTCCAGATATGTAGTTTACAAATATCTTCATCTTTGTGGGATGTCTACTTGCTCTGAAGATTATTGTTTTTGCTGTGAAGAAGCTTTTTATTTGGATTTAGTTAGTAATCATGTGTGCCTATATTTATTTACATTTGTTTTCTGGCTTTAGAAGGTCTTGCCTAAAAGCTTCTTGCCCATCTCAACGTCCTGAAGCATTCTCCATGTTTTCTTAATTGTTTCAAATCTTATCCCAAGCCCTATATCCATTTTGACTTGATGATTTTAGCTGATAAGAGTTATGGGTCTAGTTTCCTTCTGCATGTAGATAACAAATTCCCAGCCCCGTGGGTTAAAAAGATTGTCCTTGCTCTAGTGTCCTTTCTTGGCACTTTAGGAAAAAAAATCAGTTGGCTGTAGATGTGTGAGTTTGCTCCCAAACTCTATTCCACTGATCTATATGTGTTCATGGAAAAACCATGCCATTTTGATTACTATAACATTGTACTGTGTTTCATAGTGAGGCCTGAAATGTCTCCTACTTTATTCTCTGTGCTCCAGATTGTTTCGGCTATTGAGAGTTTTTATGTGGTTCCATAGAAAATTGGGATTATTTTTTGCCATATCTGTGAAGAATATCATTGATATACTAATAGGGATTGCATTTAGTCTGTAAACCACTTTAGGTTTGAGCACACATTTTAAAATATTGATTCTTCCAACCGGTGAACAAATACCACGGGGCCTTTCCATTGTGTGTGTCATCTCCAATTTATGCCATCAACATTTTATAGTTTTTATTATAGACATCGTTTCACCTCTTCAGTTAAATTTATTTCTGGGAATTTTTTTGGCTTTTGCTAGTTATCTTTATTTTGATTTCTTGTTATTTGTTTTGCATCTATTTGCAGTGGCATCTCTTAACTCTTATTTCAAATAATTTAATATTCGTATATAGCAGTGGTCCCAAATTTTGAATTTGGATTTATATCCTGCATGCTGAATTCGCTTAGTAGACCTGATAGTTTTTTGGTGCAGCCTTTGGGTTTTCTTTTTCTTTGTTTTTCCACGTAAGATGATGTAATCTACAAATAGTGGCAGTTTTTCTTCTTTCTCAGTTTGGATGGCATGCATTTCTCTCTGTCTCTCTGTCTCTGTCTCTCTCTGTCCCTCTCTGTCTCTTTCTCTCTCTCTCTCTCTCTCTCTCTCTCTCTCTCTCCCTCTCTCTCTCTCTCTCCCCCAACACTGAGTGCACTGATCCTCTAGTCTTGCACAATTAGGTGGGACCTCTAGCCTGAAGCCAGCTTCTTCATCTTCCCTTTCTTGCTTTCGTCACCTGATGACTCTGACTAGGTCGTCCAACACCATGTTGTATGAAAGTGATAAAAATGGGCATCCATATTACTTTAGATGTTAGAGAGAAATAGGTCATATTTTACCCACTGAGAATAATGTAGCGGTCAATTGTTATATTTGACCTCATTATCCTTGGGAGCTTTTAGAAACCTAATTTTTTGATGTTTCCATCACGAGATGTTTCATTCCATCAAATGCTCTTTCCTCATCTATTGGTATTTCAGCATATACTGAAGAATCACATGACAGTGATTCCCTCATCCGTTTAAGGTGGTACCTCACATTTATTGACTTGTACATATTGAACCAAAAGTTATATTTTATTAATCTTTGTTAAGCATGTATTATACGTTGGATTTGGGGTTTTAGATCTATGTCTTGTATGAAATCATGCTACTTTTGAATATGTCTATTGCTGACTTCTTTTCTCCTATTAGTATATAAGCTTCAGAGGAAAACACTATTATTTTATTAGCTGCTGTGTTTAAAAGACCTAGAATACTATGTTCACAATGACACTGGCTTAATGTTTTCCTATAGCATTCATTTCTGCCAATTTATTCTTTCTTTAACGAAAGGATGTTTAAGTCTGTATGGCAGACATAAACATACACAGAGAGAGAGGAGAGAGAGAGACTACCTCATTTAATCATTTTAACAATACATGATATGATCATTTAGAAAAACTGCCAAAGTTAATCATTAATGAATGACATAAATGGTTAAAATAACTATGAAAACTATGAATTCCAATTCCATAGACTTCTATCACAATGAATGCATTTTTATTTACAATAGGGACATATTCCTATTTTTATGTCAGTGTAGAACCCTTAAATATTTTCTTAGAAAAACTGCAGCTACTGTGAACTGACCACCCCATTGGTATGGTCACACAACATCAGTTTGAATATGAATGGGATAGGTAAGACCATTATTATCTGGAAGCAAAATTTTTCTGTACTCTATTGGGTTAGTCAGAGCTCTTTTGCTGGAACGGAATACTTGAGAAAATATACTTCTAAGGAGGAAAAGTTCAGTTTGGGGCACAGATTCTGAGGTGTCGGTTCATAACTGCTCGGCATCATTTTGAGGATATGACATGCAGTGCATACACCACAGTAGAGACATGTGTCCACATACATGGACACGTGGTGCATATACCACAGTAGAGATGTGTGGTAGGACA